ATTTGGCTAAACCTCACTATTCATCAGGAGTTGAATTCTGCAAGGGCTCAGTTTACGACCGCCTAGCAGGAGGTTTCAAAAAAGTCATGGCTTTATGGATCTGTGAATCAGAATATTTGAATCCACCGCAGCATCACTTTTTACCCACTACATTGCATCAGGAGCTGCAATAAAGCAGCTTAAAAAACAACCCAAATATCCAGATTATTCGTTTACTAATCTGGCTTTGAATTGGGATTTGAATTAACTGCAGGAGCTCTGTTTACCCATTTATTTATCAGGAGCTGAAATAAAGTAGCAAAGGTACAAATCCCAGGTTATTTTGTTGTAAACCTTTCTTTTCAAGATGCTTAATAACATTTATCCACAAAAGATTTCCGCACTACATTATATCTATATCTCTAAGGAAAAAATTCCATATTATTTGGTTGTAAACTAACCTGTTCATGAGGATTAGAAATCCAACTGGAGCTCATTTTACACATTATCTCGTCTCACGACCCAATAACAAGGTGCTTGTAAAAAAGTCTGATTTTGATGGACTATAATCCAAGTTATTCTTTTGCTTTTGTTCAGTGGCATTTGTGTAGGAACTCAGTTTACTCACTACATCGTATCAGGAGCTGAAATAAAGCAGCGTAGGAAAAATTCTCATATTACTCGGTTGCAAACTTTCCTGTTCATGAGGATTTGAAATCCAGCAAGAGCTCATTTTACATACTAACTCGTCTCACGACCCAATAACAAGGTGCTTGTAAAAAAGTCTGATTTTGATGGACTATAATCTAATTTTTTCTTTTGCTTTTGTACAGTGGCATTTGCATAGAAGCTTATTTACACACTACATCGTATCAGGAGCTGAAATAAAGCAGCACAAAAAAAAATCTCATATTATTTGGTTGTAAACTTTCCTGTTCATGAGGATTTGAAATCCAACAGGAGCTCATTTTACACTTTTTCTCGTCTCACGTCCCAATAACAAGGTGCTTGTAAAAAAGTCTGATTTTGATGGACTATAATCCAATTTATTCTTCTCCTTATACAAGGATATTTGATCAGAAGCTCAGATATTTGTTTATAAACCTTCGTATTCATCAGAATTTGAATCATGCAGAAGTCTGGAAAGTGTCTCTTTTGTATGTCATAAACTTGCTTTTTTTATCAGAAAATCACGTTATCTACAACGAGCTAAGGATATTCACTCCTTAAAAATAAAAAAAACCGATCGAACAAAAATAGAGCTTTGTCGATTAATTGTAAAAATATCTTCTGTTCGTTGGGAAGCTTTGGAAATATTGAAGGACAGATTTGTTGACACAAAACACCAAGATTTCTAATTTTCTAATATTTTCTAATTTAAAAGGCAATAGAAAATTAATAGAATAAGAACAATGGTTCCAAGGTCCATTGTTCCACTTTTTATGGGAAATGGGAATTTTTTATTGTATATAGCCTTCAAAATTTGAAGTAGTATTTATTAGAGTGAATGGGGAGGGACTGATGATGGAATAGCATCCCGATCACCCCCCGAGCTGTGTACGTGACTTGGGTCGATGGCGGAATATTTACGAAAATACCCCATCGACCCCAATTACTAGATTAGTTTGTTATTGTATGCAGGCCGATGGAGGAATATTCAGTACTTTCTAATAGAATGAATGCAATGTATATAGATGTGACTGCATTTATTTGTGTGAATGCGTATTGAATGTGTGTTATGTGTATACCGCTCGGAGCTGAAATGACCAAGCTGTCGGATGCCCCTTAAAATGAATAAATAAGAATAATGATAATGAATTTTATTTTTTTATTGTATTTAAAGTTTTCAATTGGATAAAAAAAATTGAATTAAGAACTCTTGCGCGACATAATAGCAAAAGATAAAAAAATGTATCCTTTATGTACATAATATTTTTTCTGGTGTAATTATTTTGTGATTACAGCCCGTTGATGGTGGTTGGCCCAATTATCAAAACTCGCCAGATCAACCAATTTTTTGATTTTTGTTTTTAGTTAATGTTTTGCTTTTTTTGCAATTCCATATCAATCAGTATAAACAATGCTAAAATTTCATTAAATTTATGGAATAGTAAAAATCTTGGAAAATCGGTAAAAATGTACAAAATCAAAATTCGACCGACACCCGATGGAACGGTATGGAAGAAAAATAAGTTTTAAATAAGAAATTTCCATCCTTCTCTTAGAACTAATGCCCCGTTTTAAATTTACGATTCGTAAAGACTAGGTTGGCGCGGAGCCGTCTCATTTCCTCCGACGTCTGGCATTATCCAGGAGACGGAAAATGCACGTTTCCTGATCAAAACCTCTCATGAACGTAGTCTTGTGCATTTCAAGGTGAATATCGACTTCCTTTTTCCACCGTGTAATTAAGAGCCGATTCACTGAGCCGTTGGCGAATCAAAGGATCTTTCTGTCGCCTGTCTTTAACCGAAGACGGAATAAACCAAATCTTCCATCTTCGCCAGATCCAGGCATTTTGTGAAGACTTTTATTAATTGTGATAATATAAATAAAATTTACTAAGGCCGTTCTTTAAAACAAAAACAGCCTTAATGAATGTTCTTATTAATTCTTTTTCAGCCAAGTTACTTATATTAATGCCCCTCTAAATACTAATTTCATTCACAAACTATTTACAAAATAGATCTGTAAAGCTTAAAATTATTGTACATTCGAATTTGCAATTATTCCATAAAAATGTTTCATATAAACCAAGGCATAAAAAACTCTGACTACGATTTACATAAAAAAGCTGAAGTCTTAGAGACAATTTGCTTTAAACATCCTTCTGGATTTTTCTCTACAAAAAGATCGTGGCGAATTTAATATTCTTCGGTATCAACTTAATATGATTTATCTAAGGCTTTGGCTTCTTTGGACTTACAATTAGATATTTTATGGAGGAATTCGAGTGTGTGTAAAAGGAGTGGGACTAAAGTGCATTAAGTTGTCTTATCCGACAGAATCACCTGTGTTTCAATTGAAACTAAATGTGATAGTATTATCCACTTTTAACTCAAAATTTGCTCACACTGACAATGTAGTTCCTCAGGGATCAATTTTGGGTCCTCTACTTTTTAACTGTTACATCATGGACGTGTCTAACGTTTCACTTTGAGAGAATGTTCGAAGTTGCAATGTGTGCAAGATGATATGGTTTGCATTTGCAGAGGAAAGACCACGCGAATGGAGGACGGTTTTTTTCTCTTATGTAGTCTGAAGACATCGTGCAGATTATTTTAAAATGTCTGGCATTATTTTTTCTTATGATTTTGTCCATATGCTTTCATGTATACGAGGATATGGTTATTTATAAAATAAATGTTTTTTCTCATTGCAATGACACCAGAGAAAGAATCAGCTGCAGGTACCCTACACCAAATAGAAGGCACTCTCGCCCAAGGGTGTACAGTGGCAGATAATATCAAAAGTCTTTATAATAAACATATTCTAAAAGAAACTCGAAAATTGGTTTATAGCAAATGTGTGGTGATTATGGTGGTCGAAAATGGTGGTCTGATGTGACGTAGTTTCAGAAAAACATTTTCTTTATCGTGCCAACGTTTCGATCTTTATTGAGATCATCTTCAGGGCTCAAAGTGTATATTCTGCGTAATTGTGCCATTCTTGCGTGTCGTGTTGAGAGTTTGTTTGTTATATCAAAACTTGATATTGAATAGATGCCGTAAATTCACCTTGACTTGTATATGAATTTGTAGTAGCATTTGATGACTAATTTCTACATTACTGTAATCAATTGAAACTAATGAAGAAAAAATCAAATTGTTCAAGTATTGTAACAAAAAATTTGTAAAACCCAGACCAGCCGGTAATTATCGTTTTTTGAGTACTTAGACATTAGAAAGGTAATAAATATATCATCTTTTGATCAATGTAGCAATTGATTTAAAAAATCTGTGCATTACCTCGCCCAGCTGACTCTGACCTGCTACCGTTGATGACTTTTCGATAGCTTAGGCATCATCAGGTCGAATACAGCCTGTTTTGGTTAATACTACTTAGACAGATAATAAGTATATAAAAGAACATAATAAATTTATAAGCTAGCAATTAATTTATAGATTTGCGTCTTGCCTCGCCCAATTCTTAACCCTGATTCCTGGTTCTTCGAATGTGTACTTAAACATTACACTGGTCATAAATACTTCAAGTTTTTACTAAGTCAGCAATCAGTTATTAGTTTTGTGTCTTGCTCTCACTGCTTATAACCCTGACAAGCCACCAATCGTTCGAATACTTGAACTTGAATATTCAGCAACATAGATACTTCAAGTTTTTCTTAAGTCTGTCCGGTTTGTTTCAAACTGCTTAAAACTCTGAGCAGCCTCTCTTCATAGTTTCTAGAATACTTACGTTTAAATATATCATTTTTTTTATTAAGGTAGCAATTAATTTATCAACTTAACAATAAACCATAACCTGCCACTTAACATACTATTTCGACTACTTGGAGGCCAAGTAAGACATGTTTCTTGTTTGGATTAAGCTATTAACTAATTTTTATCGTGCGCCTTCCATCACCGTGCTTATACCCTGACCAATAACTGATGATGTTTCTTAAGATTGGTTGGATATCAGGCAATTCATATACACTTTGAAAGATCATGAAAATTACATTTGAGACTGATTATGTATGGCTAATATTTTTGTCTATTTTATGCAATTCAGACACGAAATATAGATCAATGTACTAACTAGAAAATTTTACAGGCGGAACTTTTATAACCAAGTTTAAATTTTTTGTGTGTATTGTATCATTATTTGAAAGACTCAAGGCTTTATGTTTTCGCACGTACAAGAAAGAAATAAGTAATTTTAAACCCATAAAAATCCTTTGTTTGCACAAGTTATTATTTAAAACTAAACTTTCACCACTTATATAATAAACACATACAACACAACAGAATTACCAAAATTATCAATCAAATATCATTTTATAATGCACTTTCTTGTTTTAGTGTACGACGCGACGGCAAAGTTGCCATCTGGCCTCCTCCGAGGTAACGTCAACCAGTTCGGCGACTTTGACCTATGCTTATCCGCGGAGGGTAAGTACTGCTTGACTTATATCGACCTCAAGTTGGCCGGGACGGACTTCCACGCCCTCACAGAAGCGCACACTCTCATCCACTCTCATCACGCCTTCCGAGGAACAGTCAAAGATGTAAGAAAACCCATGTTAATAGTAAAATAAAATTAATGATTATATTGATGTAATACTTGTCATATTAAATAGACTGTGATGAACCTTTCAAAATTGATCACTTTTATCCGGGCATGACTAATCTCGCTGATCGGTGTGTTATTTTTTCTTTACCGGGTCCAATTCTTTCTGCTTTTTCCTATTTCATTTGTAAAACTAACTAAAACTCTTATACAAGAGCTTCGACAGGGAAAAAATAACAGATCAACTACTGAAGATGCCGTAACCCTTTGATAGGCAAATTCTGCGAAAATTGTCAGAGCTCGAATAAAATGAATACAATAAAGTTTATATTAATTTCAATTGATAATTTTACTTGTAGAAAAGGTTTATAATAATAATTTATACATATCAATGGTTTATATAGCTATCTGCCAGAACTTTTCACTGTACAACTTTTGAAAGCCCGCTTATTTTTCTTATTGTCTCACAAGAGCAATAACAATAATAGTACTATAAATTTGGGGATGAAAATTATTAAATCCACTGTATTTCGTGGTCCGATTGACCAAATAACTTCATTCAATTAATTAATCTTTATGTAAGGGATTGTATGAAATGAAAAAGTTAGTGTCATGAGCTGGATTCGAACCCACGACCATCGGCTCACGAAGTCACGATAGCTCAAGTGGTTAGAGCAGCGGTGTATTGAGCCGAAGGTAGTGGGTTCGAATCCCGCCGTGACACTAACTTTTTCCTTTCAGCCAATATCTTACATAAAGATTAATTAATTCAAATAAAAATTATATTAAATTAGAATTTTTTTTCTAATAAATAATGTTTTGCTTTTTTTTCATAGCCTGGTCATAGAGTTCCCAGGTTCAGCAGCATCCACTGGGCAGTTTGCGTGCCGAAGAGCTGCTCGACCACCGACGTCGAAGATTCTATGTCAAAAGTGGCCGACGACCTTTCTTCCGGTACAGGACTTAAAGCTTCGGTCAAAGTGTTCCCAGAGATGTGTCAAGTCGCTTCTACTGAACAAGTGGCGACTTCTGCCTGGGTAGTCGGGTAAGTTAGTTATATCCCAAGTAAAAAGAATCAACATTAATAAAAAATAACGATTTTTTGTTTTAGAACTTTATTCCTGGTCATAATTGGCTTCTGCTTCTTAGCGACTGGAGCTGATTTCTTCAAGCTAGAAGAGACAAGTGAGTAGCAAAGACTGTTTTGAAACGTTTTTAATAGTAAATTTAAATAATGCAATTTCCTAGGCATAGGAATGGATTTGCTTATATGTTTTTCGCTCAAGAAAAACTGCAAGAAGCTTTTTTCAACAGAAGTCGCACCCGATGATATCTCAAGCGTACACGGAATCAGGTTTTTAAATGCTATAATGCTCTACATATCTCACAAGTCGATGGCGCTTTTTTACAACCCTTACATGAACCGAACCATAATGGCTGAGGTAAATTTAATAATATTTGATAATATTCACGAAAACTTAATTGACGCTATGTATCAGGCGCTTGGAAAACCGTGGACGGTGGTCGCGAGGGCGGCGAGCCTTTATACCGACCCGTTCATCATGATGAGTGGCCTCCTCACGTCCCACTCCCTCGGAAAACAATATCAGAGGACTAAGAAAATCGACGTCCCGAGAGAATTCCTTTCGAGATTTATGAGGTGAATAAAATTTTCAAATTTTAATCATCTTGCAATCCGTTTATACGTGGTTTTTGGCACAGGCTGCTGCCGACTCTGGGAGCTTTGATCTTGTTCTGCACGTTCATCCTTCCGTATCTGGGATCCGGCCCTCAATGGCCGCTCGTCATCGAACATCACGCTACACTCTGCAAGCAGTACTGGTGGAGAAACATGCTACTCATCCATAACTACTTCGGTTTCCAAAATATGGTAATCAATCCTATCAATTGTCCAAATAAATAGTAAGGCCTTGACTTCTAGCCTTGCCAAACCGTTCACTCAAGACAAAATGCCTATAAAATTAATAAAAATTAGTTTCAATCCTTGAGAAAACTTTGACAGACAGAACAAGTTCTTTCTAATTGTGTGAAAAATATAATGGCAAGTGAAGTACAATACATCGCTAATGAACTCTGCGATATCAGTTTACAATTTAAAGTTCCTTGTTCATTGTTGTTTCAACACGTTTTTGCATTAATTTAAATATAAAATACGTAGTTTTGTCGTTTCCGATTGTTCTGGACGCGCTGTCTGTCAGCACGTTTCGGCATTTCGCCCTATTCAGCGGTGGAAAATATGGCTATAAGTAGATTGGTACCTTGCTGCTTATCATAGGTTTTCTTCTACTTGGATCTTAAGCAAGCTCTATAAGTTCAACCTATGAGCTTGAATCAAGCTATTAATTAATTTGTAGTGACTACCTTAATCCATCATCAGTATTATACAGCTTGTCGACTGAAATTAGGCAAGCCATTTGTATCTAGTTATGATCGTTATTAATAAATAGTCGTTTTGTGACTTGACTCAGCCTGCTTAAATCCCTGACCCCTAATCATGTTCTCTGATTACTTGGATAAGACCAGTATGCAAATGAAACTTTTTTGATGATTTCATCATATCAGGTGTTTCTGAATGATTTTTCAGAGCTGATTCTGAATATGACTTCAGTATGTTTCTACCACTTCAGGATTTTTCAATCGAATTCAATATAACAGCAAATTTTATTATCGGAATCAATGAGAACCCATAATTTTGAATAATTAATTGAGAGATGAAACACTATAAACTTTATATTACTATGTAAGTAAAATAAATACATTTTTACAGTCATGTATAAAGTAACCAATTTCATTTCTAGGTTAGGTTTTGAATTTTCTTTTCTTGGTTTTCCGTGATGTTGACCCATCATCCTTCCAGTCTCGCTTCAGCATACAGCAGTAGTTTGCCATCATGCTCGAATTCCAGTTTCCCTGGTATCTCCTTCCCATTTCTCTTATGTCCTGGTGGAACCTTTCACCATACTTCTCGCTGAAGTCACCAAGATTCTCGGGAAAATGGTCTACGTGTGAGTGTAGAAAATGTACTTTCACGCTCATATTGCATCCTAGTTCTTGAAAGCTCTTTAGCATATTGCTCACCTTATTTTTAAAATCTGGATGCTTAAAATTGCCCAAAACGTTTACAACGACTATTTTAAATCCATTCCATGCGAGTTTTTCTTTCATTGGCGTATAAACCCTTCATCCCGGAAGAGCTGATTAATTTGAGCGCCAATGAAAATGCCTGCTTTTATTTTTTCGGCAGTGATCGCAGGAAACTTTTATAGCCAGGTATTTAAAGCACTCACTCTCTTTAGATAAGGTTGTTCCTTGAGGCTCAGTTTTATGTGTAATGGAGGTAGGAGTATTTTTTGAGGGTGCACAAGGGGGTTATGTTTGATGTTTTTCGTGCCTGGAATAAACTTCGTTCTCTGAGGCCATCTTGTTCTAAATGCAAAACTAGCTTCCGGTCTTTCAGGGGTGTGTCAATTACCTACCATGTGAAGTTGTAGGGGTGACGTTTTTTTTTTTTTTTTTTTTTGGTTTCCGATCCCGTAAACGGTCTACCTGTAAACACGATCTATCTTTAAACGACATTACCTGTAAACGATCACTGCGGGAGAACTCAGATTTGTGAGAAAACTGTACGTTCTATCAAAAAACTGAGTTCATTTCTAAAATAAGCGAGTAAAATTGATGGGAAAAAACACCCCTCTTCCTAGTCATAGAAAATCATCTAAAGCTGTGTAATCGATTGGTCATCAATACAGGGAGTCAGGCGTCATAACCTTGGCAGTGAATTTCACACCTCACATGCTCCAAAACAGTTCATATGAAAAATGGTCAATCCTTTCGCAGATATTCAATATTTTATGCTATTTTCAACTATGGTCTTCGTCTAAATCTACTCGCAGCTCTTGAACTATACATTCTTAGAGAAATCCAAAAAAAAGCGTTAAAAAGTACATGTAAATTTCTTTTAAGAAGGCACTCTTATAACTTACTGTTTAATTTTTGCTAAAAAACAAAAACTAAATCTTTCAAAAACTGCTAAATCTAAAATGTGGAAAAAAGGTACAAAATCGTTGGAAAAATTCGCTCTAGAGAATGGCAAATTTCATAACAACTGTCTCATTTAATGAGCTTTCTAGATGCATACAATTTTCTTTTGATATCGAATCAAAAAGCATAAACTTTATGGTAAATGAGAAAAAGATTGTGACGGTGGAAAAAGAGATAGGGGTTCATGAAATAAGTAGTGTGCATTTTTTTAATCAAAGTAGCAATTAATTTATAGCTCTGTGTATTACCTCATCCTGAATATATCCCTGACCTGCTACTTATCATGCTATTTTGACTATTTTGAAATTAAGTAGTCCTTAGATATTACGTTTCAATCAAGCTATCAATTATCTTTTGCTGTGTGCCTAGCTTCTCCCTACTTATGCCCCTGTTGAGTCACTGATGATCGTTTTTCGATTCGATCAATCTATTGTCTGTATGAATCTATGAACTTAGAAATGATAAATGATGGAGTGAGTGTGGTGTTCAATACTTTTNTATATATATATATATATATATATATATATAAATCTATATGACTCTTGTATCTTCCCTTACTTAAAATTATCTCCCTGCTTAAAATTAAGCCACTAATCATACCATTTCGACTACTTCGATATCAAAATAAGTCAAATATAGAGATTAAGTGAGACATAAATTCTTAAATGTCATGTATCGCACGAGTATTAGGTTATCGGACAGCTCAAAAATACACAATTTTTCATCAAGTTAGCAATTCACCAATTAATTTTGTGTCTTGCTCTCCCTGGTTAAAACCCTGACCAGCTACCGATGATGGTTTTTTTCATTGCTTGGGCGTTAGACAAGTTATGTTATATGTAGATAAATCACGTTTTTATGAAGTTATGAATTAATTTATAGTCTTGTATCATACCTCACCCTGCTTATAACCCTGAACAGGGGGCTAACTATTTCCACTACATAGAGATCGTTTTTTGTGTGCATCCTCATAATATCCCCTGGTGAGCTTGATCGTTTTTTCATATATAAGGCGTGTAAATACGGTGAGGCAAAACACCAACCCACTTTCGTTCCAGTATATTCCCAAAATCCACGCTGAAGTTTACAAAATGCCGAAACTACAGACAAAACGAGGGTGGATACCACGAAAGGAAACGAACAACTACTGGTTCATCACCCAGTAAACCTTATGATGAATCTCACAATATTGAATATGCGTCAATCTTTTATTTTACAGTGCCTAACACATACTCATCACATCGGAATAGACACCCAACTTTTCTTGGTCTCTCCTCTTCTGATCTACATCGTGAACAAATGGCCTAAGCAGGGCTTGCTGACCCTTCTGATAATTGGCGTACTTTCCACGTTGCTCAGGCTCTATGCTGTTTATTACAGGCAGCTAAATTTATACGTTTACTTCGGAAACTCGTAATGGATTTTTTTTATATATTTTACTTATTAATCTTTAAACTTTCTATCAAATAAGGAATTTATTTCAGGATATCCCAAATGTTCGACACAGCAGATTACTCTTACATTTTGCCTACGCATCGAGCGACGGTTTACGTGATGGGAATCGCACTTGGCTATGTACTCAGGCAATGGGGAAGAGACGTTAAATTGAAAAATGTAAGTCTTTTTCATCTTAACCAGGGCTTTATCAAACTTTTTAGCCATCTCCTATGAGCTTTATCTGCCTGTACCACTCTATAACTGATCAAGTAAGATGGTTTTAGTGAGTTGTCATTAATAGTTTTGCATGAGTTTTAATGATGTTTTGACAAGCAGCCAGTGCAGGCTCGCAAATCACACAATATCCTGACTTCAGCAACCGATCCATACTAAAGTAAATAACTGATCAATGAGGATGACACAAATATGCAGTGTACTCGCGAGAGAATTCTAGCTTACATGTGCAAAAATAAACCGTAGATTGAAAAAATAAAAAACTTTCGTTTTCAGTACTCATTGTTATTATTTTTTAAAATTTATTTATTGATGCTACGTTTATTTTTGTATTTATTAATTTCTCTCCTAGTTCACCACGGACCCCCTAGTTAAAGCCAACAGACCACAGTTTGGGAAGCCCCAGTCTGAACCTAATTTACAAATTTTTAATTGTAATTTGTCTTTTATGCAGAGCCAGCTGGCATTGGGATGGATGCTGGCTATTTGCAGCTTGTACCAGTGCGTCGTGCAACCGTCGAAAATGGGCGATAGGTTTTACGTCTACGACACCACGGACGCTGTGATGTACGCGGGGTTCGCGCCGATCACCTGGTGCCTCGTTTTCTCCTGGGTCATTTTTACAACTCACACGGGAAACGGAGGTAATATTTAACGCTTTGAACAACTAAGCGTTTGGTTTTACAACGAAAGTAATTTTTTCATTGAAACTTATCACCTCCGGTCCGATCATTTACCGCTGCCGCTTTGAAATGCCTTCTATTATATTATCCAACGAGACATACCAAAGTAAAATTATAAGAGAACATTTTGCATGATATCAATATTAAACTTGAAGTGAGCTTTTAACATAGATATCGATATTTTATCCCAAAATTTTGATTTTTTATCGTTTGGTTATTTCCGATCATCCTGGTCTGCCTACCTACCCTGGTTTAATCTGACAAACCATGACACCGAGTTTGACCTACACGACCTCATTTCCCAGATCTAAACCAAACATCTCACCATTTGTAGTTTATGTAAATAAACCAAGTTTTTGTCTGGCACTACATTGTTCTTGGACGTTTCTGGACTAATAGCCAATCTTCAGCAGCCTCAAAATCGCATTTCGTTTATGGGTGGATCCTACGAGGTTATCTGCACCCCCTGGGTATCGGTGTTTAGATGCAAGCTTTAGATGCATTCTGTTGTATTACAAAAAACTCCATTTCGGGAGATCATCCTGAAATCAGATATTTGTATTTTCATGTAGAATTTGGAATAACAAACCCAACTTATAAGTTGAAAAGCCATATCCTTTGCATGACTTCCTATCTGCTATTGAATATGCTGTTTGAACTTGGACCTCTCTGTAATAGATGACGGAAATGGTTTAATTTAAAAACACATCGTCCAATTTGTTTAAATACCCAATACAGTGATCTGCGAGATGATAAACCCATAATTTCGTCGTTACCGAACATCCTGGCCTGCCTTGATATCTTCTGTAATATCAAGTCCCTTTGACGTATAAAGATAGGTTGAACCTTTACGTAGTTTCGAGAGTTCACAAAAATTGTATTTTCTTTAGCGGAAACTCTACAGTTTTGGGTGAAACGGAAGATGATTCTGGTCAATCTGCCGTCAGAGGAAGAACTATCAATAAGGCAGAAGGTTACTTACCTAAACTAAGTTATACGGTTTCTGCTTTGGCGGTTGTTTGAGATATAATCTGCAGGCTTTCATTATCAAGATGTAACCGGATATGTTTTTTCCACATTGTTGGCAGGTTTACTTAGAGTTACACATCTAGGAAACATGTATCGACAGTAAGTTGTACTAACTCGTTTAAATTTTCAAAAATATGGTCTTAAGGGGTGAGGTACGTTTGTCACGTTAAGATTTGACTATAGGTGTTGGTCTCCTAGTCAGTAAAAGCATGCTGACTCATAATTGGGTACGTCTTGGCGGGTTTTAAGCCACCCAATAAGTAACTCTATGCCGGTTGACTATGAGTTCACCGGCTCGCAGATCAATACTCATCATCAACTCAAACACAACCAGTTAGGCTACCTTACTTCAAAGGTACACAAAACCTGCAAAACTCGCGAGCGAAGACGGACCCATTGACCCTCCACCGGTTTAGCATGAGATTTATATTTGTCGGTACCTCTGGTAGATAACATTGAACAGTGAACAACATTACATTGACTGTTGTAAATGATATATGTGAATGTTTTATTTTTATGTAGCCTTAGCCCTGATTTTTTAGTATAAGTTCTGCGAAGAAATAGAATAAAACATAAAAAATAATTTTTTGTGTGTAAGGTAATTCCCCATCTCAAGGTTACCCCCATTGTAGGTTGAGATGGGGAGTTGGTGTCCGAGTGGATCGAAGTCACGATAGCTCAAGTAGCAGAGGCGTATTGAGCCGAGGATCGTGGGTTCGAATCCCGCTCGTGTCATTAGCTTTTTCGTTTCTACCAAGACCTTACATGCAAAGAATAATTAACTGAAAAAAGTAATTTGGTCAATCAGACCACTAAATGTAATGTATTTAATAAAAATAATAATTTCGGATGAACGATCGTCTGTTATCTTTCTGATCTTTTTGTTCTCGCTGCATATGCTTTATTGGATATGGATTGTCTAACAACGGACAGCTAGGACAAGCGGACCTGAGACATTCAATTTCAATCCACCATAGAACTCAACGAATACCAAGTCCATATATAGACTTCATATTATGTTTTCTGTATTTTTTTATCATAAGAAATAACACGTGGAATTAATGGTTGTTTATATTTTTTATTAGTGAGCTTTATAACTGAATTGAGCACATGGAAAGGTTGGCAGATCACGACCAGACTATCCTATACCTTTTATCTGACGCAGTTCCCCGTCTTCTTCTATAACGTCGGCAGGGTGAGGAGCACAGACTACTACTCCATACAACTGCTGGTAACTTTTTTCGACACAGTGATTTTTTTTTTTTAATTCACTGTTTTCGATTTGATTTTCCAGTTCGACATCAAAGAGACGGCGTGCGTCGTCCTCGCGTCCATCGCCCTGACTCTATTCATAGAGATGCCCTTCCAGAACATTAGGTCTGTTATTTTGAAAAAGCCGCCCGCCCAACTCAAAAATATCGAAAAAAAGATCGAATGATATTCCTTCGAGACTGCACGACAAATTTTTTATTTAAGAACAAAAAGAAGATCTTAGCTGTTAGATTACTTTTAATATTAATTGGACTGTGATTTTGATTATTTGCCTTATAATTCCTTCCTACCATTGTACAAAATACGACGTATTTAAGAAACATTTTTAAACTTTTGTAAATAATTGTTTAGTTTTAAGGTAATTTTTCCTAAGAGTAGTTTACATAAGAGACAAAAAATTATGTAGCATGAACTTTGAATAATTCAAATTGTGTTTAATAATTAATTATTTACCTATTTAATCTACCACACGAGCATAATACGTTTAATATAATACGGTGATGTTATTATTTTCCTGTATGTTATGAAAATATACAATTTTCTTTCTATGGTGTTATTTTACAAAAAAATATTTGTGTTACTTGCTGAACTTCCATAAGGGACTTCGCAACTCTCCCAAACTGATAGTCCCAGATAGTGCTCAATATCGGAGGGTGGAATTCGTCTTTGCATGAAATAGACTGTAGGATAAGTGTATTTTTGGAGAGTAAAGGTGATATGGGTGTATTTAGTTTAATTTCAGTCTTCACTTGCGAGATCAAGTCTGGATAAGGTTTAAACGAAATTGAATATGATGACTAACTAGAGAAGAAGAAAGGATGGCTATTTCATCAGCAAAAGTGCATAAAATATTGTGAATAGGAAGGGGCTATGATGCTGAATTGGAGGACACGCGCTTTAATGAGAATCTAAGAAGAAAAGCCTGCCGCCTGAAAGATGCTTCAATACCGGTCCGTCAGATAGAATTCAATTATTAAGATGTACGTTAAAGGAAGGAATGCTTTTTGCTTCAATAGCAAGCCAGGGTGCCTGAGACCGCTAGAAAAGTATGTGCTTCAGGAGAAAACATCGTCTGTATGTGGCTTGCTCGATTCAGAAGAGGAAACGTTAATTTGAAAGATGCAAAACCCCTCTTGTTGTCCTTCAATCGTTGATGATAACTGAATCAAGTTTGGTCACAAATAACTGTACTCAATGAGACACTAATCATATCTCATACAAGCATTTCACCGCATCCGAGAACAGCTGTATATGTTTGTTATTATATCTGCGGTTCCCTTCTTAAACGCACTGAAAACGATCCAAAAAAGATAACTGCAGATGAAAAGTCTATTAAAAAAACGTTTAGGGAGAAATGTTGGAAAATAACGCAACGAACCTCAGACAACAAATCCAAAAGCAACAGATCTAATGGAGGCTATGTTGTGGGTTTGGTGGAATTGAAAGATGGTGCTTTATTGTCGGCTTCTTTCACTCAACCGAAATTCTTGAGTAGCTGCCCAAATTGAAGCGATTAAACTCAGAAATTGACCAAAAACGACTGGCATTGGTTAATCTCAATGGTATTGTTTTCCACAAGGAAACACGCCCCCAAATGTTTTTGCAAACACGCCAGAAAATTGGGGCGGGTTGTGCTAACCCACCCATCATATTCATTATATAAATTCATATAAATTTTCTTTGTGGGAAAACTTTACATCACTCAGACGACTTGAGAAAACGCATCGCAGAGTACATTCTCAAAAACTAAGAAATTCCGGGAGAAGGAAATTACAAAACTATGATGGCAAAACGTTGAGGAACAAAAGGCCTACTCAAAAAGTTATGTTGATCAAATTTGTTTACAAGTACCTGAAATTTTCATTGAATTAATCACCACAAACGCGACGACTTATTTTATAACTCCATAGGCGACTGAAAAAATATAGATCAGACGAACCTTTCAAGTGATTATCCCAGACGATTTGCCAATGGATAGCTTTTTCTGTTAATTATTGCCCCGCTCACAAAATAGAAACCCAATGTTTGTTGTATAATAATTATACAATTGTAGTTAAATTAAAAAAAATATATTAGTCCAAAACTATTAGTAATTTGTGAATATTAAATGCGTTTGGATCAATTAAATCATATCACATACCAAAAAAAAAGCTAGACATAATTTTGTTCAATATGATGTCTAGAATCAGGAGTGTTCTGCCATCTCATGTGAACTGCATGAACTGCTTACACTCCAAAGTTATCATATTCCTTTTAAAACTGCTTTTAACACGCAATTAGCAACAATTTCCCAATAAAATTTTGAACACAATCAAGTTAGAAATTTTATAATAGCAAAGCATTAAAATAAAATAATGATAAATTTGGTTACAATATACATAAAATCGTAAAAAGTAGTGGTCACTCATAGGTCCACAAGTGTCATTTTTTACTAACACAATTCCATATAAAAATATCTTTGAGATACAACCAATTAAGACTATAACTCCTATTCTTCATAAAAACAATGATAAAGTCATAAATTTCCACTACAAGTATATGTAAATATTGATGTTGTACCAATATTTATTTTGTTTTTAACATTAACTACGCTTGTTCCTTTTTGATATATCCTTACAATTATTTTACTTTTAGTTTTATTATACACAATGATTTTTACTGCTAATAGTAATCAATGATCCTTTTACAGTACATATTATCATAAAACATAGCACATAGAGAGAGAGAGAGAGAGAGAGAGAGAGAGGAGAGAGAATCAATTAATACTATAACTCCTATTCTTCATAAAAACAATAATAAAATCATAAATTTCCACTAGAAACGTAAGAAAAAATTGATGTTGCACCAGTATTTATTTATATATAACTTTGACTATGCTTGTTCGCTTGTTCTCTTTTGTTATACTTTAATTTATTTTATTTTTACTTTTATTTTATACAATGATTTTTCTGCTAATACTAATCAATGATCATTTTACAGTACATATTATCATAAAAAATAGCACATCAAGAGAAAGAGAGAGGGTGTGAAAGAGGGAGAGAGATTGTAATGTTTGAGTGTTCACAAATTTGTGGCGTTACGTACGACTCATGATCAAACAATTTTGCTCAAAAATTCATGAATTTGGAAAGAATGATTGCAGATACGCTGCTTTATCACTAATTTTGAAAACAGGCTTCTTTCCAGTATTGCAGGAAGCATCTTGTGTTCGTAGAAAAATTGAAAATAATATGGAGGAAGTCTGATATATGAGAGAAACGAGTAAAATCATTTCCTTTGATACTCAGGAATCTAGTGATTATTCGTATAATCCCAACGCCACAATCAGCATATGTCAAGCTAGTGCTGATTATTTTTAGCTGAAATTTCCTCGGAGCCATGCTTGATTGTTGCAAAACTACATTCAACACTTTCCAAAAAAAGGAGATATTTGCCAATTCTGCAAGTAAGGGAATTTAAATGAAAGATCCAGACAATCACGGCACATTTTGTTTCGTTTAATTCGTGCTTGAACTATGAAAAATTGTTGAAAACCGTTTATATTTTGTGAACAGTTGTTTTTCCTAAAACTTTCTATCAGCTGTTAAATGTTCTAGCATAGTTGTTAAAGCTTTGTAATAATAAGTATAATCATAGTGGCAAAAAATGTACAACAAACAGGTTGGTAAAACCAATTCGATACTGTTCGAAAAAGTAAACTGAACAATTTGTTTAAAATAATTTTTAAGTTTCCGATCCAGGTCTAGCAAACGTAGCTGGTTTCGGTCTGTCACGTGCGTTTCGGCATTTCGCCAACTTCAGTGGCCTGCGTGGTATTTTGTCAATCGAGATTTTTTTATACCGCTAAACAACCCGCCTGACAGTACTGGAATGACCAAAGAACACGTTGATCAATCTGCAGATTGACCAAGAAATCCTAGAATAAATGTAAACCTATTTTATAAATCTGATTAACGGGGAGTCTTAAGTTGATTAAACTTAAGACTATACTATTGTAATTTTTTCTGGTAAATTTTCCCTTAAAAGAAATTTTTTTTAATAAATTTTTTTAAAAATAAAATGGTGAATTTTATGAGGATGGTGAGTGTATTTTATCCTTTTTTTACTAAAAAGGCACTGTTGAAAAATTGGAAGTCCATATTTTTAATAGGCAACGGATGATACTGGAAGGTTTAAACAATTATGGTCCAACGTTTACATAATATGATTTTTAAAAAAGAAAATTATTTTTTGAAAAATTCAAAATTTTATTTTGGCCATGTGACTCACCATCAGTACGACACAAAATTTGCTAATCCCTTTCGTTGAGTTAGTTTACACAAGTGCGGAAATCACTGATGAGAAAGGCGGACGCGAGAACAAAACTCCTTCCGTTAAGTTTCAGATATGCAAATGTGAGCGGAGATATAAGCGGGTTAGACTCCGGTGAAGGCCTAAGATCGTTCTCATCCGTCGCTTTGTGGGGAGCTGCAAAAACTTGCTTTCTCGACCCCGTAGTGTTGGAAAAGTTTCGGTACCTAACGTTTAAACTACCATATGTTAATTAAAAATGTTATAGACAAAAATATTTTCTTTTTAAAACCTTGGTAGAAATATAGATTTTGAAACTTTATAAAATTATATTGAAAAAGAGTTGTACTGGACGGTTAAGTTGAATGGCCGCAGGTGTTAAATTTTATGAGGTTCGAAGTCGATAGTGCAGTGGAAGGACATGTGACATGGGTTACAGGTACCAGGGATGTTCCAGGTATCCGCATCCGGCCAACCTCCTATCATGCCCGGATACGAGGAAACAGACGTCGATGACGTACAACAATGACTTTTCGGTCGCGACGAGTAAAATGCAAGGCTGGAGGCCGTCGATGGAGGACGTGGCCATGATACTGCTCGACATACCCGGCGACAACTCAGAGACGTCCTACTTCGGAGTCTTCGACGGCCACGGTGGTTCTAAGGTATCTCAGTTCGTCGGGAGGAACCTCCACAGGTTCATCATGCACCAGCCGGAATGGCAGACGAACCTGAAGGAGGCCATCTACAGGGGCTTCCTGGATTGCGACGAGGCGATGAGACGAGAGGAGGGTTTGGTAAGAGACATGTCGGGCACCACGGCGGTCACCATCTTCATAAGGGACAACGTCCTCTACTGCGGCAACGTCGGCGACTCCAGGGCGATCGCCTACGAGAGCAACCGCGTCGTCCCTCTGTCCTTCGATCACAAACCAACCGTGCCGACTGAATTCAGGAGGATCGTGTCCGCTGGAGGCTTCGTCGAAGGGGATCGCGTCAACGGCTCCCTCGCTCTCTCCAGGGCCCTCGGCGACTTCGACTACAAGAACCCCGAACTCAACCCCGTACACCAGATAGTGAGCCCCGTCCCGGAAATCGTCATCAAGAAGATCGACCGGGCCTGGGAATTCATAGTCCTTGCATGCGACGGGATCTGGGAAGTCATGTCTAGCCACATGGTCGCAGAATTCGTGAGGGCGCGCATCAGGGATCGGATGCCTCTCAATTTTATATGTGAAGCTCTACTGACCAGATGCCTTTCTCCTAGATGCGACGGGCTCGGACTCGGTTGTGACAACATGACCGTCATTATAATCAAGTTTTTGTGGTCGCGCTACTAACGGCTTCACCCATTAAAATTTTGGTTTTAGAAAATTATAGATTTGTTAATAAATTATTTAACGTTAGAATGTTTCCAACGATGTAAATAGTTATTACGTCAGACAATATTAACCCAATTTGTTGAAACATTTTTGAACAATAAAGTTCACAAAATTGGCGTATCTATCTTTCACTATTTCGTACATTTATCAAATATAGCAATGTTATTTCACCCTGCGGTAAACTAGGTTCTTATACATTTCTTTAGTCTATTTAAATATTTAAAAAAATAAATTAAATAAAATAAAAATAAAAAACAAACAGAGAGAACTTTTAACATTAGAAATGGATTAATCACTGCTCAAACCTGGATAAACTATTTCTTAGCAAATTTATATTTTGTTGTTATTAAGGCCTTTATTCTCATGAATGATAATAATTAATTAATAGCTTGAAGGGCCCTTATGCAGCGAAAATGGTTCTCGGGCACAGTAGCGAGGTTCTGAGTGCTATGTCCCGCTTTTTGCAGGACATGGTTTTTTTTTTACTTGTATGTACAATAGATCTGTTTTATGCGTTTTGTTTGAGTGAATAAAATTGGTGGGGAGTGATGGTGAACCGTTCCCATCGCCAATCCAACAGTGTAATGGTTTTAGGGTCGATGGCGGAATTTTTATAAAAGTACCCTATCGACCCTAATTAAGATTACATGGTTAATATTTTGTGTAGGTCAATTGAAAAATGTCGAATACTCCACCGGCTCAGAATGAGTGCAGTGTACATAGATGCGAATGCATTTATTTGTGTGACTGTATGTATAGTTACTTAGTATGAATCTAGATCATATTTTGCATTGGTTGGGGGTTCAAATGACCGAGCAATAAGCCAATAAGTAAGGTTTATGCTCGAACGTTAGACCTGCCCACCAGGGCATATAAACAGGAATACCTCCATCCAACCAAGTCCGCCAACGTTGGACTTTACTTAGATGGCAAACATGGAACTCGTAAAAGATTTAAAAGACAATACCTTAACAAAACATATGGACTACTCAGACACCTGCAATCAACACTCCAACTATCCAAAAAACGCTCATCACACCTCGGCCAAATCATCCAACACACAACGAATCCATTCCTGTCAATCCAAAGTTCTCTGCCGTATTCTCAACATTCGATTATATGTCACCAATCAGATGAAACATAAAGATGTTAAAATCCCATTCGTGAAAGATCTGATTCGGATACGCTTCTTCAATTTCCTCTCAAGACTTCACCCTAAGTCACTTTTATCATCTTTTAATTTATATAGTTAGCAGTACATAAAATGAATTTAAAAAACCCACCACTTTCGAGTATAACGTAAAGGTCAAGAATACCGAAAGTGTAAATAACAACGGGCTTTGAACAGCTCCCTGTTTCACTCCCATTGCTTTTTTGATTTTATTAGAGTATACTAGAACCACCTTCAATTTGTAGTATCGGTGAGGGGATGGAAGAAATTAAATAAAAAATGGATTGGAGAAACTACCCATGGCCGTACTCCTATGGGTCATAGGCTTTCTCTTCTCAATTCTGTTTGGTTACAGTAGCACGGGAAAGACCATGCAGCCTTCTTCTTTTGCATGAGATTTTTGTATTTCAAAATTTATGGTGGTTGCGAGGTGTGTATGAAATTGGCGACAAGGGGAGTGGACTACATCTTGTACAAAAGGAATGTTTAGGGCTGTATGGTTAATTTCGTTGGACACATAAAAGCATCAAGCTTTTTTTGAGGATTATGGTTAGGCCTTTTGGATGCGGAGAATATTGGAACTTGGCTGAACCCAACACTTCCAGTTCGTAAGTCTTTTTTGGCTTCAATGGTGTTATAAAGCAACCTTTTTTTTAAACAGATGTAAGCTAGAGTGTATCATGTATCCCATCATAACTTCTTAACGATTCAACGTCAAGCACTTGTCGAGGTACATTCCGGGGTACCGCATCTTGTTCGATTTGGGTGGGGTATTTGATCGAATTAGACCGGAGGAGAGATCTTTTGACGGAAGGATAAGTGGATAAAGTTTTCTGTGTTAAATTGTATTCTTTTTTCTTTTTTGTCACCAACACTCTTGAGTCTTAAGTATTGCGGAAGATTTCGAGTGCATATGACAAGATCGCAACTACTACAGAGGATCGCTGTATCGTATGCATTTGTGAGTAGTGGTTTGAGGGTGTAATGAAATATCAGCGGTGCACACCTGGTATGTGTGGCCAGAACGCTACCCTGAGGAACACCAGCATGAATAGGGAAATATGCAGAAAGGAAATTGCCTTCTATGACTTGGAAAACCCGGCCAGTGAGGTAACAAACTGTGCAGTATGAGATGTGTAGAGGGAAGAAATCTCTTGAGCACGAATGGCAAACCCTGGTGCCAAACTCCATCAAAAGCTTGGCTTACGTCAAGAAAGGCCCCAGCAAGTACTGCCCCATCTCAATGGAGGAGAATATAATGTCTTTCATGAGATGGCACTGTCACATAAGTGGTAGTTGCGAAAACCAACTTAATGGTCTGGGAGTATAATGTGAGAATTTAGGATTAGAAGAAATTTTTCATAACTTTTCTCAAATTTTACCCAAAATGGCTTGGAGCAAAATAGACTTCTGTGCTTATATGAAATAATAAAACGTGTAGTTTTTTGGTTTAGGGACCATTCGGATAAATGAGTGAATTTATGTTAATTTAGATGGGTACCAGGTCTGGACGGTAAAAATACGGACGAGGTGGGGGGTGACGGTTGTGTGGGTAGATTTTTCTGGGTTGAATTTTATTTTCTCATCATGATTCAAGTAGTATAAGGTGTTCCTAAAAATTTCTAGTGGCTGTATCAGAGTTAGCTGAAAGAATTGCTGTACCGTCTACGTTGCAATTTCCTCACTTACAACACCTTTACTTAAATTTGAATTTTAACAACCATTAAATTTCTACAATTTTGCTGTTTTGTTACCAAATATTTTTTCCTAATGTATTTCGTTATAATTTTAACGATAAATTGAAACGAATGTATAAAAATTGTTTCGGCGTTCAATTTAGGTTTACCTATTCAAAATCTATAAAAGAATAGCATTTTCAAGCAAAAAAAAGTCAGTGTCACGAGCAGGACTCCCGTGGTAGAGCAGCGGCGTATTGAGCCGAAGGTCTTGGGTTCGAATCCCGCTCGTGACAAAGCTTTTTTCATTTCAACCAATACCTTATATAAAGATTAATTAATTAAAAGAAGTTATTTGGTAAATCGGACCACGAAATATAATGGATTTTTGTAATAATTGATTTCCAACAGTCAATGTAAGTAATAATTATTCAGAAATCGTGAGATGCGGTCTGTGTGATGTAGGTTTCAGAAAAACATTTTTATCGTGCCAACGTTTCGGTCTTTATTGAGATCATCTTCTCAACACGACACGCAAGAATGGCACAATTACACAGAAGACAAACACTTTGAGTGAGTAGAAATACTTTGAATATAAAAAATATATTTTGCAATGTATAAATTCACTTTTCCACATCCTAAATGTATTTGTTAAATGTAAACAATGTTTGTAAATCCCAGGCCCTGAAGATGATCTCAATAAAGATCGAAACGTTGGCACGATAAAGAAAATGTTTTTCTGAAACCTACATCACACCAGACCGCATCTCACGATTTCCGAATAATTATCGATTAACGGTCACTAATCACCACACATTTCTACGTAAGTAATAATAATATTTGATCAACTTGTCAGTTAGTACCCAGAGGCATTTTAATTATCCTTAACAAAATTGACCATCATTGCCTTCAAGAACCTGCAACTCTTTATTCCTCCTAAGTCCGAAGGACAAGCAAGTCCACAATGAACCGCAGGATTTTTTTCATCGAAAGTAAATATGTGTTAAGTATGGAACCAAAGTGAAAGGACCACCATTAACTTAGAAAAAAACCTCGTCACCTAATCAATAGCTGGTAAGTTTGTTGTTTTCTTAACATTAACTCGATCAAAATTGTAACAGTTGGAGGTTATGCTTAAATGAAATCTCAAACGTCTCATATCAAACTTTCACCGACACATCGAGCATTCGCTCAATTGTTCAATCCCCTCCGGTGTTTTGATCATTACAGAACCACTCAGGAGGCCCATCCAGCCGTGCTTCTAATTTCGTTACATAACAGTTTGAAGATGACAAACCGACTCGGACTAACAGTGAAAACAGGCGAACCGTAAATTATCTGATTTGGTCACAAACAGCCTACCATGTGCATTATATGTCATTTTAGATCGTTATTGATCCATGCTAATCACACTTTTTTAAATCAAACTCTTTGAATAAACATTACACGTTGCTTTTGTGGTCTAATTATTGATTTAGGTAGAATAAGTCAAATGCATAAACATTTCATTACGTTGTGGCTAAACATACCTAGTTGTTATGTAGCTGGGAAACCAATTGGAAATAGAATTGTTTAAGAGGTTTATGAGTAGGTTAAAATTCTCTCCTTGTATTGTAGTCAAGTATCACATTTTGTTATTTATGACTAACAAGCTGAAATATTCCGCATAATATCGCGGTTTAATGTTAATCAGCACTTACGTAAGTACATTTAATATGTTAATTAAATCATTTTTAATAAACTCATGTTTAAGACGTTATTTTATTCTTCTTATTTGGGATGTGGCGTCACTCTAAGTAAAATAGGTCTATTTTATTTGGCTGACGTTTCGGAAAATTTATTTCCTTTTTCTAAGAAAGTATATTTAAAAAAAAAATAAATTACTCAATATGAATTAAACGTTTTCAAATGATCATGCACTTGATAATATACTTCTTACAACTAATTATTATTGAACATTTCTCTGGTCTAAATTTTAAATTTTTTACAGTTCGGTAACTTTCGTAACCGTAGCCGTTGGTAAATAATAGTCTAAAATTAACACAGTTTTGCTACAAATATTTTCTAAATGTCAAAAGAAACTCTTTAAGTTTTGAACTGTACGATTTTTGTTTTCTTTTCCTATACAATGTTTGTTTAATAATTTAATATTAATAAACTATGCTTCTATTTTTCACATATTTTACTGTTCTCGGGTAGGTTGTATTTACACCTTATTTTATATTGATCTGCTGACTGTCATTCCGTCGTTTTAAGCTTACGCAGCATTATCTTTCACTGTTGTAATATAAGGGAATAATCTTGATCTCGGGGTATAATTAATTTTTAATAGATGGTTTCCAATTTCTTTGAAGACCGACTCAGTCCCAATATTGCCAAAAACATTACGACTTAATGATGACAATTTGTATACATATTTAAGATTGTTTTGCCCTGATGATGTCCTTAAAATAAGTCGAAAGATTGGCAGTAACAAAAGAATTTGTTTTATCACCCAGACTACAGCGAGATCCAGATTATTTGTGACCATAAAAAGTAGTCGACACATCTAACATTTTAAACAATCTGAGGGGCCAATGATATCTTGAAAATATCTTTCGTTTATGTAGGATTTTATAATCAGGTAGTACGTAAAAGTGAGGGCATTCTTAAAATTCCAAAGCAGCACGAAGCACACTTATAGCTATAGCTATCCTAGGTAGGATAGCTATACCAGCTCGAAGGCGTGCTTCGCATCTAGGAATATACCGCATCAACACTTTCGCTCATAAATCAAAGATGATGTCTACATCGAGATGGCATAGCTGGATAATGGACTGGGAACTTCTCACTGGTGATAAGGATTGTCAAGAAATGAAGGATGAGAATAATGACAATTAATTAAGGTTTTTAGTTGAGATGAAAAAAAGTTAATGGCACGAGAGGGATTCGAACCCACGACCTTCGGCTAAATACGCCGCTGCTCTACCACCTAAGCTATCGTGACCTCGATCCACTCGGACATCAACTCCCCATCTCAACCCCACCTTATGAGTTTTCATCTCAACTAAAAACCTTAATTAATTGTCATGTATTAATTGGTCAAGCGGACCACGAAAGTAGTGAATTAATGATTTCAAAAGTACACTTCACTAAAGCTCTCCGTCGCCATTTCAATTGTCGTCGAGAATCCAATCCGATTACACGACATTTGAAAAATGGCAGAAAGGAGGGAAAATTCAAAAGGTGGGGTTGAGATGGAAGATTAGTGTCCGAGTGGATCGAAGTCACGATAGCTCAAGTGGTAGAGCAGCGGCGTATTTAACCGAAGGTCGTGGGTTCGAATCCCGCTCGTGGCACTGACTTTTTATATCTCGACGAATACCTCACTTAAAGATTAATTAATTGAAAAGATGTCATTAGAGTTATTAAGATTAGTTATTTAGCGCTGCTCACTGATTATTTTTAGCTGTTTAAGGAGGTAGATGGTTGGAGTGATTTGTTTCTTCGTCAAGAGGACCTGATGATGACCACGATAGCTCAGGTGGTAGAGCAGCGGCGTATCTAGCCGAAGGTCGTGGGTTCGAATCCTTCTCGTGCCATTAACTTTTTTTCAACTCAACTAAAAAATTTAATTAATTGACATGTATTAATTGGTCAAGCGGACCACGAAAGTAGTGAATTGATGAGAATAACGTCTTTAAGCAGGAGTCTTTACCAAAATTTTACTACATTTCAGAAATTGCTCAAGATCATTCATTTATTGAAAGTGAAGCCCAAAAGTTGCCATTTTCGGTAACTTTTCTCAAAATCTAATGGAAGTGTTCAAATCATTATAGGTAATAAATTCATTGGGAAGTAGGGTGATGGAAAGTTATGTAGATTTTAAGCTTTGGAATCAAGCGGATGTAGGAAATTTCCAAAGAGATGGGTTATGTGGTTCTAAGGAATTTAATTAAGGAATGTACATTTAGGCAAGGAAATCTGGTTGGATTTCTAGGTAGATATCCTAGAATTTTAGCTGTGATCAGTTGAAATCTAATGCTGAAAAATCAACCCTAATAACCTTCACCATTACTACGAGAATTATTCTCCATTCAAGTATTCTTCTAAAAATTTCCGATTCTCTAGTTTATCTATTAAATAAAAGCTCCCTTAAAGATCTAAACAGTGACGGCTAGAGGGAGTGAAAAAACTTTAATAAATCAAATTATTGCGCGTGAAGTGCTACCAGTAGGTATTTTCTTTAATAAATAACTGATTATTTGTAGATCGTGAGTTGGGGTCTGGTATGACGTAGGTTTTTAGAAAAACATTTTCTTTATCGAGATCATCTTCAGGACCTGGGATTTATAAACATAGTTTAAATTATACAAATACGTGTAGGATGTGCACTAAACGCCACCCATTAATAAATAACTTAATATTTTCTTATTGTCTTAAAATTATTCATGAAAGAATTGATCTCGCTATTGTCTGGATGAAAAAACAAAATACAAATTCAATTGTTATCAGTATTGACATTGGCATGTTTCAGCGTATATAACATTGTCAATACTTTCAATTAATAAATCTTTATGTAAGGTATTGGTTGAAATGAAAAAGTTAGTTTCACGAGCGGGATTCGAACCCATAACTTTCTGAGGTGGGGAGTTGGAGTCCGAGTGGAACGAAGTCACGATAGCTCGAGTGGTTAGAGCAGCGGCGTATTGAGCGAAGTTCGTGGGTTCGAATCCCGCTCGTGACATTAATTTTTTATTTCAACCAATACCTTGCATAAAGATTAACTAATTGAAATAAGTTATTTGCTCTATATTGTGCTTGCTAAATATAATGGATTGTCAATACTGTTACACTCCTTGGTAATATTAGTACTGAGTCGGTCTTCAAGGAAATTTGAGATCGCCTGTAAAAAACTTAAATATGTCAATCTAAAGACATATTGAAGATTGTTTTCCTCGGACTTGGTGCAGGTTCTTGCAACAAACAGCCACAAGCAAGATCCTATACAAAGAAGCCGCTGGCAAAGCTATGGAGGTTGATTAACAACCTGAAGCTGGCTAGTGAGTTCTAAAGAAAAAAAAAAGAAAGCACAATAGTTCTATTCAGATCGAGGTGCAGAAGGCCTTGTGGCCTTTCTTATCCCTTATCCCTATCCCCTAATTATGACCCTAAAGTATGTCGAAAGGTTTTAGTAACAACTGAATTTGCGTTTTTCGTCAAGACCATACCTGTTGGTCATATAGTGTTGGTATATAATTGTTCTTAAATCCTGCCTACTGAGATAGAGAGAGAAAGAAAGACAGAAGGTTCGCTTTTTTACGAGGTTTATAAATTTCTTAGCTAGGCTCATACCTGGTGTTTTTGTCGAGTGTTTGAGTTTTTTGAATCAAGCCAGTTTTCCAGTTCCATGCACACACTCCTATGACTCAATTTGAGTTTCTGTTCCCAAGGGTGAGAAGCCTGCCCCTTTCTTGGCTGCTTTGTCTTTTCTTCTATGCTTTGATGACCGATTAATTTTAAGGTCATCTTGCTTTTTTTTCCCAATCATTAGGCAATTTGGCTACTCCCAGGCGAGTTTGGCGTTGAAGGCGCATTTACTGCCTTTATTGCGTTTGAAAGTATGTAAATCTGTGCATCTTTCATTTCTTGATTAACTGCTATGCACAGAGTCGTATTGCGTAAAAAATATTTTGGATTAGTCCAAGGAGATTGCTAGCGTTGAGTTCGGCCCTTTTATCCATACACATACTCCTGTCCATCTTCGACCCATCTGAGTACGATATTAGGGCCCATTCTTCAAATCTGGGGCTACGGTTCTTCCAAAGGTCTCTATCATCTATGACCACTTGGAAGGAAGGGCCTGTCAAAGTTAAGTTTTTCTCTCATTTTGTCAGGTACGGTTATTGTAATCTCATTTAGTTTAATGCTCTCTAGAATTTTGTGATGGCTCCTCCTTAGATCTGGCTTTATTTCCTTGTATCTAAGGAGTTCGAAGGTACCCTTTTTTATACATAAATGTATGGCTGGAAAGTCGAGTGCTGTAATGAGGCAGATCTACATTGCTCCTGTTATAATAAGACACGCAAGTCTTTGTAGACTTTGTAACTTGTACTGTGTTTCCTTTTTCAGTGTTTTTGGCCACTAGAGCTCCATAGTGACTAGGGGTCTGACCGTTGACATAACACGTCATTCTGTGGTATATTATCTAATCTCGGGCCAATACATTGTAAATTCATGCGGAATGTTGAGTATGATTTTCTCCATTTGATCCTTTGATTATATTTATACAAACCGAGGTACTTTGTTTATTTGGAGCATGTAAAGGCTTCTTTTTTTGTAGTGATTGCTTTTAGATTTAGCTTCCTTCTTCTTGTAAATGGTATGAGATATATTTTCTTAGGGTTTATGTTTAACCCCTTTTCCCATACCATCTTCCACAATATATATAGCGTTTTTCATGTGATTTGACAAAATGTCATTGAATTTTCTTTTTATGATTCTGACCTATGGTATGGTATCCTAACCTTCAACATAAGACTCATACAAGATCGAACCAGTACTTTCTTCTGATGAACATCAGCCTTGCATTTTTTCATTTTTACTGATGATTCAAATAATGAAGGTGGCATATTACTGTACTTTCATCGCCTTTTCAATATCGCATTTCTTTGTATATCCAGTAATCGTAAAACTACATAAAACAGGATATTTTTCATCTTCTCTTACAAATAATATGTCCACCTGTTGATCGTCCATCTTGATGATTTCTCAACACTGAGCAACTGCAGTTATTAGTGACTCGGCAGCTGAGTTTCCCAGTACTGAATAGTAACCAGTAATCAGTAGGGTCGTCTGGTGTCTTTTGCCGGACTGGCCAGCAGCTAAGTTTCTTCCGAGTAGGTGCGTGCGTAGAGGGCCTTAATTCTTGATATTCTATATTTTTTATTTATTAGACATAATTCTAATTTAGACATAATATCTCGGACCTGTTCAATGAAGGCTATAATTCTATTTCACAATTATCATTGTATTTGGTTGTAGCAGTTAATTCTACCGTTGTAAAGTTAACATAAAAATATTACGATAATTTTATTTTATTTTTAACTTTTACTAAAATTTTATTATTTTGTAGTTATTCCGACTGATATTAGTCGCGTATGCATGTGCGTGTGTGTTACAGGATCGTATCCGGTAGCCCCGTGTTTGTGGTGTGTAGGTGTCGGGGGTTCGCCGGCTGGGGGGTGGCTCTGGGCAGGCGCCGGGGGTAGCTTTCGCCAAAACCCTCCAAATCGTCCACATTCTTCGGCTGAGCAACGGCAGAGCCACTCCCGCCAAATCCACACCGCAAAATTACGAGTCGACGCCGCGAGGCAAGTAGACAAACAAGAAAAAAACAAAAATACAAAAAACCAAAATCGCTTCCAAAAACCCAGAAGGGAGAGAAAAAAAAATCACTTCTCTAGACAGCATGCCCTTGTGGTTCACCCATTTTATTTTCTTTCTGTTTCTGCAACTTTTCTCTTCATATTTAATTTTTTTCTTTGTCTTGTTACAGAATCATCTCATATTAAATTTTGCACCCATACTTCATTTAGTAATATATATCTCATTATAATAATGTTGGGATAAAATGATAATTTTTCGATATTTTATAAATCTGACAATAAATATTAAAATTTTTAAATTAATGGTTCGTACGATTTTTCAAGATTTAATGTATTCCAATTTAAAACTGTAAATAATGTAAAATATACGTAGAAACTTATATTTGAAATAAAAGTTTCAGTTGCAAACTATGAAGTATCACATCCTGATAATACTGAGCTTACTGCTTTTAAATTTATAAGGAAAACATTTATCAGTATTAGAGCCCCCACCCAAAAAAATTAAAGATTTCAGAATTTATTGGCAATTATTCTTAAGCATTTGATATCCAAAACATCTGGTTGCTTTTTAATATATTTCATTGTTTTCTTAATTATTGTATTTATTTCATTATTAAGACAATAAATTAGTTTTACACAATGCCAAGTAGTGTTTAAATTTTTGATAAACTCGATTTTTTTAACACATGGTAATTATTTTTCAGTCATGCTTTTATGTATTGTTTTAGATATTTCTATCTAATAAACAAAATAAATTTAAATTCTCGGAAATCATGGGATAAATCTAGAATCTGGATAAACCTAGAAAAAAGCTCAATTTTTCCTTTGATCCATAATAGAAAAATTAAAAAAATTCCTGATAAATTTTTTTATACAATATACTTTTCGCTCGTTCCACAGATTTTTCTGACGAAATGGAAGGCAAGCATCTCATAATTAATTTTCAGATTTATACCAAATAGTGTATAGATTTAATGTCCTGTGATAATTATTTTCATGCGATATGTTAAGTCCGATTAAGATTGTATCACAGGGGACTGTCATCATGGACGAAATTATCTGAAATCGATATGTTTTGGATTTGGAGTCATAAAAAATCTATTAATTTATGCATAGTTTTACTGCGGTTTTGCTCTTTGAAAAAAGTCTTGGCTTTAGACTCTAATTGTTTCATTTGAAAATCATTTCATCAGCATTTCTGAATAAATAATTAGTTATTATAATTAACACTAAATTTATCATAAAGTATTTTCTAGTTTCCCTTCATACAGGTCATGGTTTTTTTCTCATTCAACATTATTCTTCACAAATGTTCAATTTTGTTTTACCGGTTAATAAAATTTTATGCGTTAAAGTGATTAACATTACGATATACAGCCAGCATAGTTGAAGAGTTAAATTAATATTATTTGAAATGCACATTTATACAAAAATTACAAACTATTGCAAAATAACAATTCTAATAGTACTTGCACTTAAATTAGAAACAATCTATTTGTATCTATTAATCGTGTTTACGCATATAATAAATTCCTTTTTGTAAATAATGGTTCTACTCAAAGATTTGTTGTGTACTGTTTTTATAATAAATTAGATTTATTTAAAAAGAAACATTTAACTGAAAGACGGTTAAACAATTTAGCTTGGCATTTAAGAATTTTTAAGAAACTTGATCCACCTTTTTTTCTTGATTTAATCTATATTTTTTACTAGTAAGTTCGAACTATCCAGCTGTACTTTTCAAAACTATTAAAAATAGACTCGCCGTTTGTCACCCAAATCACTGATTATTTGTTTAAGGGAACATCGCATTTTATTTAAACATTTTATGTTTATGCTACAAAAAGTATCATAGGTACTTAAATTACAAAACCAAGGGACAGAATTCCTGGAAAAACATAACTCAACGAAGCTTAAGCTATGAAGCTTGATATTTGAATTTTTCCAAAAAAAACTGCATCCAATCTTTTTTCTTGACATAATTTATAAGTTTAATTGGCAACTTATTGTCACATCTTATTTGTCATTTAACCGTGAAAATTATGCAATAGGAATATTTCAAAACTATTGAAAGTTAGAGTGATAAAACAAAACAAAATTAAATATAGTTTTGTCAGAAACTGGGTTCGCATTATTTCGAATTTTGTTGCTCTTATCACTGATGATTTGTTTAATCAATCATAGATGATTTAAACGTGTTAATAATTCGACTAACCAGCTACAGAATATAATATAGTATAAGTAACGAAATTACGAAACATTGAGAAAAATTTTACGTTGAACTTACTTTAGTATCCATCTATTTCAGTCCATTAAGCATGTGTATTTATGTAATTAATTAGTAATTAATTACCTTACCGCCTGCGTAACCAGATAGTAATATTTATTAGGAAAAACTTAACTGAAAGAAATTTAAGCTATGAAGCACGACATTCAAGAAAATGCATCTATGTAATTTTTTTCTTGACGGAATTTATACTATTAACTTCGTTATAATCTAGTACCGATTAATTCTGACGCATGTGTATTTATATAAATATTGTAATTAATTACCTTAACGCATACGTAACTAGATGATAACATTTATTAGAAAAAAAACATAACGCAAGGAAACTTAAGTTTTGAAGCTTGGCTTACAAGGTTTTTCAGAAAATCGATCCATCTTTTTTTTCTTGATATAATATGTCCTATTATGTTCGAACAAAGTTCCATCATTCCTATTACATAAACTTGTAAATTATCTAACTGTACGATTTCAATACTATTAAAAATTAGACTCGCTTTGTCTTACTTGCTATCGCTCATAGCCAATAGTTTTTCATTGATGAATCCAATTTTTCTTCTTTTCTTATTGAGATAATCTACACCATCAATTACAACATTTACAGTATCATAACTTTTTTATCACTTAAACGTGTAAATTATTCAATTGAAATATTTCAAAACTATTTACAAATAGCGTGATAAAACTAACGTGAAATTATCAGTTTTATGAGACACCGGATCCGCTTGATTTCGCTTTTTGTTGCTCTTATGTCTGATGTTTAGTTTAATTATTCACGGGTTATTTAAACATGTTAATAATTAAACTGACGAGATACAGAAGGTTGCAAAACTAAATTGAAAACATGGGGTCAGCGCTGACGTTGAATTTACTTTATTATCAATCAGTTTTTTTGCATTATTTACACTAAAATTAAATTGATATTTAAATAAAATTAAAATCGATTTTATTTAAATAGCAAGAAATATTAAAAATTACCTAAATGTTTAAGTTATTTTTCTTATTAATATTACAACGGCCTTCCAAGGATCGTAATGACGCTGGATTTGATTAAAATTCAAAAGCGATAAGAATTTTTTAGTGAAACACAGGACAGCGAAAAAAATTGCCCCAGGTTAATCCATCTAAAAAGTCTATTAAAAAATAGTATTTAAGGGTTTTAAACGAAGTTTAAAAGGAATCCGAATTAATATTTTATAATATTTGTTTTATCGTGTTTTTATCAGTTCAAATGGCTTGGAAGCCGTTGCAACTGTGCAATTTCTTGATAATAAATATTATTTTCTGCCAATTCATGGTTTCTTCATTAATGGACATCCATTGAGATTTTTTGTGTAATGTTCTTGGTATTGGATAGTAGAAACTTTAAAAAATGAAGTTACTTACTTTAATAAATAACTTTATTCATATATTAACACAATTTCGTGTAAATAATGCAAAGAAAATGATTGATGTTAAAGTACGTTCAACGACCACGGTGTCCCATCTTTATTTCTAAGCTAATTTCTATAGCTGGTCATCTGGATTATTGACATGTCTAAATAACCTGTGATTAATAAATATCATCAGTGATAAGAGCAACAAAAAGCAAAATCAGACGAGCGTGTCGGCAAAACTATGGCTATCGTCTGGATACTCGGACACATAGGTCTGGATGGTAACGAAAGTTCGGACAAGGGGAGTAAGGCTGGGACTTCCCAACCTCCGGACTTAACCACTGCAATCCGACCTCCTGACGTCGATGGGGTGGATTAACGGAGAAACACTGGAAATCAAGAGCACTGTCGATAGGTGGCCCTCGGAGGATCTGACTCGTGAGAAAACGGTGATACACATCCGATTAAGATTTGGCAATGCTAGGTTTATACACGGACGCGTACGTTTGGACAAAAGAGCGCGCATGTGTCCCGCTTGCAGAGAAACAAAATCAGACGGATCCAGTTTCTGATAAAACTGATAATTACTGATCACTTCTCTCCATGACAGGTTCTCCATCGACCCTCCCTTTGTGCACTTGTTGGAGAAGTACCACGAATTCTCGGTGGTTGTTATCTGGGTACTCTCATACATACGTATGAAGGGTAATGAAAGAAGAAACGAGGGGATAAGGCCGGGATGTCCCAACATCCGCCCTTAACCACCGCGTTCCGACCCCCAAACGCTAAAAATGTTTCTAAAGCCTGAAGTGGCTGCGTCGGTAGGGTGGATTAGCCGAGAAGCTTTCTCGTATCTAAAAGCACTGTCGAAGGTCGCCCTCGAAGGACCTGACTCAGGAAGGAAGGGTTGTCCTCACACGATTAAGGATAGGCCATGCAAGGTTGATACACGGACACTTACTTTTACGCCAATGCTCGATGTGTCCCACCTAATTGAAAGGTGAAAATCTTTGCCTCCATACAGAAAGTCGATTGCCACCCGACATGAGAAGCATTTGTGTCCCCTATTCCGATTCTTGGACGTTATCATATCGTACATAGTAATGAAGAATTGAGTCCCTAGCGAGGGTTACAATTGATTGTATTTATCAGTGTGTATATGCAGTGTGAGAGGGTCGATGATGGAATATTGAGTACTCCATAATTCCTCAATTAGTTTAGCTATATAATAAGCGTAAAGGGTGGATTAGACAGAAAGAGGTATGACCCCGGACAGCCAACCCCGAGGTGGGTGATTTTCGAGGTCTGCCGGTAGTTTATAGTAA